GAAGTCACGAAAAAGCGGCTCTGAAGAAGGCGATACTGCCGAAACGTCAGCTAGTGTTGTATTGTATTGTGTTCTTCTATGGAAGTAAATGTATGCTGTTTAAAAACCGCGATTGCTGAACAAGAAAACGACACAGTGATTTATCCTTCGTTATCTCTGAGTGGCTTACCATATGGAACAGCTGTTTTATTGCGACTGTTGCACTACAGAAAGGTGAGTTTGGTGAGCTTGAAGCGCGATAATCTATGCTGGGAAAAGTTTAACACCTTCATCTGGTCAATAAATCTATGTTCTCTTGACAAGCAAACACAAGGTTGCTCGCACAATGCTGATTCGATGTGGCTTACGTTCTAAAACACTCCACCTTTTAACCGCTATGAAACAAATATCGTGTTAAAAACCTTTCTCTGTTCATAAGGAGCATATCTTATTGATCATTGCTGAGATCAATGGAAGGTCGGTCTTGAAAACACTGGTGTGGAAAATCTCAGCTATAAGGCCACTATCGTCTTTGAAAAAATCTGGTCTCAACTAGGCACACCACTTTCTGATTCTGGCGGGTTGGCGATTTCCAGTAGTTACAACTTGGAAGCCCGCCGACGTGACTGTTTCATGGTATGGCAAGAGAAAAGGTCATGCTAATTCCGTCTGTATAATTTTGTGCTAAGAGTTGTGAAACCATTTAACTACCGGGGTTCTGCTGGACCAAATAGAATAGAGATACTAAATAGAATTGAAATCTGAGAGATGACGATATTGCAAATTTCAGATCGAAACTGGTTTTACATTGTTACACTGGTGATTATTATTCTAATGAATCTCTGTAATGGAGTCTATCAGAGCTCAATCTATGGGATCGTAGCCGATTTTCCCGACAACTATCCGAATTCGTTGATAATCGGAAATAATTTATGTGGAATCTTCACCAGTTTGATGAGTATTTTCACTACATTAGGTGTGAAAACAACGCCACGATTCTGTTATTATTTGGTGGAATGCGAAAAGTTTGGTAGTTCAGTTAGTAGTGATGTTAACTAGGAAGATCTCGAAGTACCGTAATCTTTTCAGTCTCACCAGATAATGTCATGCTAAATACTCTACTGTATTTCTGCATTTCACTTGGTATACTCGTCATTTGTGTATTATCGTTGGCTGTTCTCGTCAAATTGGTAAGCTTTTTCATTAAGGTGAATACTTTAGAGTTTCATTTCTCCCGAGCAACACCAAAGATTAGTACAAAGCAGATGTGAAAAAACTGAGTACTGATTAGAATACATAAATTTGAGTTCACCTAGTTCAGAATAAAAAGAAAAAAGAATAAAGTTCTTGACGTTGATCAGCCCCTGAGGGATGCGCCATGCATTCGGCTTCATTAAGCAATGTTGGAGGTGATTAAATGCATATCCAGCCATTATAATGCTGAGATATTTGCAAGACTCCGGACCACAGGTGTCTGCGGTGGGGAACGAACGCGCTATTGTCCTTTCTCGGGAGTAACGCGTTCACCACCACACTATGCGGTTATAATAGTTATATTTCGCAAAATACCCTGCCGTTAAAAAGAATAGGAAGTGAATAAAAAGGTTAAGATTGTGATTATAACTATAGCCTCAGCTTAACTGGGTTCAATGCCGATTTGGGCTCCCCAGATCAATCCCGTTGACGGCTGATTGCTGATGGCAAAAGATTGATAAAACTAGCTGAGAGACAGTCAAGAAGAAGGACCCGGATGGTATGCTGGTGAACGCGGTAGTCCCCGGAGAGGGTAATAGCGCGTTTGCTCGCCACCGCAGACGTCTGCGGTCCGAAGTTTTGCAAATATCTCAGCATCATTGTGGTTGTACTTCTCATTATACCCTGCTGTTAAAAAGAATAGGCAGTAAATAAAAAGGTTAAGATTGCATATCTAGCTTTTGAAATGACTCGCGGTGGCCTATCGTCGTATCTAGCCAGTGCTGTTATCCTCCCAATCAAGTCTGGTAGCAATTTGCCAATCCCGGGGCTTAGACGTCTTGGTGACTGTGGGGCGCGGGGATCGATCCCATGTTTATTGCAACGCGCCTCCGACCACTGCGCTACCCGCGACCTCCTAGTTCAGAGTAACTCACATTATGTTGACTTTATGGTTCCTACAACCTCACTCGGAAATTTAACGGCTCATAACCATCATTTATTCAATTACGGAAAAAGTATTCTTATCATTGTTTTTCGGCCTTTATTAACGAATCCGATGAAACAGTTAAGTTCCACATTTTCTAAACGAATCGCGTCTAGGAACCCATCTTTCAAAAAGATTCTTCTAAAAAGTTGACCGATTCTTTAACTAATAACTACACTGGAATTCGTCTCTTCTAACTCGTTCAGTCGATTAAAGTCTTATTTTTCCAGCCATTCTATCGTAATTACATGGCACTAGGTAATTCAGCTCGCAAGGAAGATGATGCAGAGAGTCCTAGTTTTTCTCAATACTGGAAATGTCTATCATATGTAAGTTCTTCTCAGGAAAACTATCTGTAGAGAAATCTGAAGACCAACTATCGTTAAAAATATGTTTTGAGCATTAATCAATGCAGTCCTCCGTCACGAACCCATGTTAGGCCTACTTGATGAATAAATAGTTCGTTGACGTGTGATTTGGAAGTAATATTTCAGTGTTGGGTTCAACTATTCAATAATTTCTTTGTGTACTTTGTGACACTCGTCATTTTTCCGGCAATGGCCACTGACACACCGTACTATCGACGAGATGGTGACCCATGGAGATCAGTTTTTCCAGGTAAGCATGTTTATAATAGTCGTTGTAGTCCTAATCGATCATACAAATACGCACACACATCACACACCGATGGTGGACACACCACATATCTTCCAACGCAGACATGCACACACACACCAATACATATATATA